ACCCCCTTAGTTGATAAGTGTTAAGATTTTGATCCCGATTGTGACTTTGTATACGCTTGGCCAGCGCAAGGCCAAAGGAGTAGGGAAAACTCCAGCTTTAATTGGTATGGGACAATTAAAGTTACACCTCCACCCATAATTGTGTGTGTCTCTCACCCGTGTCTCTCACTCAAATTCTATATTGTACAGAAAAGTGTCAAATCTGTTTAATATTTGTTATGTGTTCTCTATCTCCAATTGGCAAATTGCTAGTTTCTGTTTTTGTTTTTGTTTTTTTTTTTTTTTTTTTTTTTTTTTTAAAAAAAAACACCGAAAAGGACACTCTGAGTAAAGATTGTAGGAGTGGTACCGTAAGGTCCGAATTTTTTGTTTTGAATTTTTTGATGCAAGTTTAGTTGTTCGATAATAGACCTGCTTCTGAATGTAGATATCTTCCTTTTTGTCTTGTTTTTGGAGAGAGATTATTGCCGAGATATTATTCGGTTTGCTGTGTGAATGCACGTCGCTCATTAATTGTAAATTTGATAAATAGTTCAGGATAAATAATTGCATTTGTTCAATTGTAATAGTAATCGCTTAATTCTTCCAAAATTTTTCCAATTTTCCAAATTGTTAATTGTAATCGAAATTGCTTAGTTTTCCAAAATTTTTCCAATTTTCAAAAAGAAAAAAAAATTCTGATTTTTTTTTTCCTTTTTCCTTTTTACTTTGTGCTCTACTTAATTGAAAAATCTGTTGGCCACCGAAAAGGACACTCTGAGTTAAGATTGTAGGAGTGGTGCCGTAAGGTCCGAACTTTGTGTTTTTCTTTAAGCAAATTCAGTTGTTCAATAATGAATTTGTGCCTATATGTAATTGTGATCTAAATCAGAGCTAGAAAAAATTTAATGAGTAATTTTACTATGTAATTTAATGAGAGTCATGTAATGACTGTAATTTAGTGAGTCATGTAATGACTATAAATTAATTGTAAATGTCTCTATTTGGAATGGCGAATTTAAAGTAATTCGTAAACAAGTTTTCTGTTAGAAATTGTCAAAGATGCTCTTTCAGTCATTTTTCAGTGAATGTTCTCGTCTGCATTCAGTTTTCTGCATAGAATTTAGTTCTTATTCTTGCCTTTCATAGTGTTGAAATGCAGTTGTGTTGATTTCCTCTTAACATGTAGTCTCTCCCCTCGAGTTTCTCATGGGCATGCTACCTCTGTTAATTTGCACACTCTGTTTCTTTTGTTTAAACGCACTTGCGCACTCGCGATTTCGCGAAGTCGCCTTGTGTTGGTCAACACTTATTTTTGGTGTCGTGTCGAGCTTCACTTAACATGTAGCCTCTCCCCTCGAGTTAATCTTGGGCATACTACCTCTGTTACAATAGTGAACTCCACCTTTTTATCCTTACAGAACTTGCTTGTCCTCCGGCCCGGTACCCCTGGTGTTGACACATAGTTTGTCTTTCTGTGATAGGAAAAAGTCTCTCCCTGACGCTTGAGCTCCGGCAAGCTTTAAACACCAAATTGTGAGAATTGGTCCAATTGATCGATTAATCGATTTTCTTTTCTCAATATTCCGACTAGATAACTCAGTGCATTCAAGACCACTTCTTGTCAATTCTTTAATTTTTTTTTTACTCAAAACATGCCAAGCAAGTGTTTCTGAAATATAGATTCATGAGCCTTTTTCTATGTCCTTTCATAAGACACTGTTTTGTTAACGATTTTTGTTTGTTTGCAGTTAATCAGAATTCTTGTAAAGAATTTTTTGTTGTTGATTGTTTCAACAATCTGAATTGCAGTATGTTGTGTGCTGTATGTATGTGTAAAGCGGAGAACGATATTAATGGAAACTGTAAAAAATTTTTTTGTCAAAATTTTGTGATCCTTGTAATTTTTTCTAGTAAATTTTCTTAACTGTTACGCCCCTCTGGCAAAAACCTTTTGTAACTTAGGTGGTGAATTTTCGAAAATTTTGTGATGGAACTTTGATAAAAATTTTGTAATTTTTGTAGTAAATTTTCTAAGACTGTTAAGCCCTTCAGGCAATTTTGTAATTTTTGTAGTAAATTTTCTAAGACTGTTAAGCCCTTCAGCCAATTTTGTGATTTTTGTAGTAAATTTTCTAAGCCCTTCTGGCAAAACCCTTTTGGACCCCGGGTCCATTTTAAGAGAGGGAGGATGAGACGGTGTCTGTTCCCCCACTCCCATCTTTCGAGATGCGAGTGGCGGTGACGTCACCCTATCCCTGAGCCAAGCTCGCTGATCAGCTGAGACGTCGCCATTTTCTTCTTCAGTCAGTGCTCCGCTTTGCTCTCGGCCGGTCGACAATCTTGGTTCCGCCCGACTTTTCCATCTTTTCTGTTCTTTCGCCAATGTAGTTTTTCCATCCAGATCTCGAGGATCTGTTCTCTTGTTTGTAGTGTTTGTAACCCGCCGTGTTGAGTGAATAAATCTCTTTTTGTTCTCTGCAAGCGCGCCTTTTCATTTTCGCTACCTCACCTCACTGGAGCCTATTGGCTGCCCTCTGTTGGTTTTTCTTTTTGAGGCCTTCAGCTGTTCGTCAGCTTCTCTCGTTTCAATGGAGATGTAGCATTTGTGAAGAATTTGCGATTTGACTGTTGATCCTTAGGTAAAAGTTCGCGAGAAACACGATGGTGCCGCTGGTTTTCTCTGAAATCAACTCCCAAGCTCAAAAAAAGCTCTCAAGTTGAGGCCAAATGGAGGGGATATCCCATGCTATTCTGAGACTCCATCTCTGCATCAAGACGAACTCTCCATGCAAAGATGGAAAGCACGGCATCCCTGCTAATGTATTAGCTCCCCCCTATCTTTGCATGGTGAGTTCATATTGATGTAGAGGTGGACTTTCAGGATAGCGTGAGATATCCCCTCCATTTTAGCCTCAACTTGAGAGCTTTTTTTGAGCTTGGGAGTTGATTTCAGAGAAAACCAGTGGCACCATCGTGTTTTTCGCGAACTTTTACAGGAGAAAATAGTCAAATCGCAAATCCCTCACACATGCAATACCTCCATTCTGTGCCTGTAGAAAGGACACTCTCGCAGAATTCGTGACGAAGAATAACAAGGACCTCGAGCTCTTGAGCTAGGGCTGGTGGGTCTTGTTTACATTTGGAAATGAAAATAGCGGCGGTTGCCAACTGTAGCACTCTAACTGTAGCTGAACACATGTGATTTTATCAGTCATTTGGTCAGCATGCGCATACATGGGCACGGCGAGGCTGTGGAAATCGTGGTCGTTACACTGATTTTGAAACTCATACTCTTTTCCTCTGTGACAGTGACTTTTACACTTACAAAACTTGGAATTTTCTTTGGCACCACTGTTTACACTTGGCAATCCTGCAATTAGCTAGGCACCACTGTTTAAAGTCGGTATCAGACGATCAAACTGGAGCTCTCAAAGTGGCGTCACGTGGGGTCACGTGACGCTCAAAGATTCTCGGTCTGGGAATCTTTGAGGGCAATGGAGGGTCACATGACCCTACGTGACGCCATTTGGAGAGCTCTACTTTGATCATAAGATACTGGCTCAAGCCGGTATCAGACGATCAAAGTAGAGCTCTCACAGTGGCGCAACATAAGAATCAATAGTCCAATCGCAAATCCCTCACACGTGGAACATCTCCATTGGCTTTGAAGGGATCAAAAAGTCAGCAAAAACGTCTTTGGTACTAATTGAACGGCTCATTACTACACTCAATTTTAGATAATAACGTTAGACAAACCTTGTCAAGCTTATCTACTGACGAACAGATAGTCCTAAATTGGTCACTGGAGACACCACAAGCTTCAAACAGCCCATCTAAAAGTTGCCGGTGATTAATTTTAAGTTTGAAAGAGCCTAGGTCAAACCGAGAGAGAACTTCACACGCTATCCTCACACATTCAGCCTCAGGTACCATTGGATCATACCGTCCAGCAATATCAAAATCCTGTGAATCATTAGAGAGAGATGAATAGTCAAAGATACAAGTCAGGTGAAGTTAAGGGGAAGGGGAGGGGGAGTGGAGCAAATTTGCAAGCTACCAAGATGGTAAGCGAATGAAGAATTGAAAGAATGAGGAGGTGAGGGCAATAATGCCGTTTCTTTCATTTTAGGGAAAAAATGTAAAAGTCCTACAAAATATCAAATGCCTCTCAATAGATCCAATCTTTGTATGATCTAAATGAACCTAGTCAAGCAGAAAGGAACCAAGCCAAATCAGCTATTGCCAAATTTAACTGGGCAATTTAATTTTTTACATGAAAACGGTTGTGCAGATTTTTGAGCAGAGAATTTTCTTCATAGAACTAAGCAAATCCTTTAAAATGTTCAAAGGCACCCACACCAATTTTCTCTTGAAAAAAAAAAAAAATATAGTCACCATTTAAATATGTCTACAGCTGATGTGGCTAGATCTCTTTCTGCTAAACGCGGTCCAAATTACGAACTAAATTTTATGATCTTAGCATTCATTTTTTTTTTACGTCTGACGCTTGATTCATGAAAAATAATGATCAGTTGGAGATAAAATGCGAGGACCGTTTTTGAGCGTTTAAAAAGCTGTGATTAGACTAAGTTTCCAGGGGAACGTTTTGGTAAAGTTTTTTGTCTGTCCGATTAGTACCCTTAAAACTCCGTTTCTATGAGGGAACGATTTGTGTCACTTTGTCTGAAGTTGAATGCTAAATATACTGGACGAGGATTAAATGATATTTTGATGGCTACAGCGCTTTTAGAGAAAAAATCAGGACACAGTTTCCTTTCATATCTTGATTAGCATAATAGTGCTAGGTACATAAAACAAACTTACACATTGATAGAATTCCCTATACCGGCCTTTAGTCATGGTTGGGTTATCTCTCCTGTATACTTTGGCTATTTGGTAACGTTTAATATTGGATATCTTATTCATTGCCAGATATCTGGCAAAAGGAACAGTTAAGTCATATCGAAGGGATAAAATCTCTCCTCCTTGATCAGCTAGATCGTATATTAATTTTGAGTCTTCACCATATTTCCCCAAGAGCACATCCTGCAAGTGGTAAAAGGCAGATATGAGAAAAAGAATAATTATTTTACTTTATTATAAAACATATAAACAGGTGAAAAACCCATTGTAAAAAAAAATTACAGTGAGACTGACCAATCTGGCAACAGAGAAAATTAAAAATGTACCTCAACGATAATCAAGAAAGGCAGGATCAGATCCAACACCATGATAAGAATCACTCCACAATCAACCAGGAACTTAGAACTTTTTGACTTTTTTCCTAAGGTAACACTTGAAATGAGAAATTTCTGCATGAAAATATCAAACTCAGCATCAGGGCTGTTGGCAAGTCTCGATACTTTATGGAGTATGGATGTACCATTTTAGAAAGACGGTGAGGAGGAGAAGGGTTTCGACAGCCACATAAAGTACCATAGTATATCGCTTTGGCGATCGTTTTCCTATTTAGAGCGCATCATCCTCTTGTTGTTAGCAGAAACTGTGTTAGTTAAGTGCTGCTGCAATTTACCATTACAGCTGTATTCTCACACATTGCCTTGGTTATTAGTCACTGGAGGATATTCATTTTGCCACGGCCAACCATCTGAACATTTCCCATGTTAGAAATAGAAAGATGTAATTTTAAAACGGTGCGATGGACCTACAGGGTAAAATGAAAAAAGTCTCCACGCCCAAAATTTTGATTGTTACTGAGACAATTGATGGGTGAAAGGGTGCGGAAAGTGCATGACTGGACCATTACAGGAGAAACATTACAAAGAGACGTGAATTTTCCTCCCCCAGACTAAGACAAAGAAAGAACTCAAAATAAGTGCCAGAAACCGCAACAAAGCTATCTAGACTTTAGCTCTCTTCTTAGTTTCTTTGTTTTCCCCGCGAAATGGTGTGGACCCAGCACCATTTCTCCACCTTGTCTAATAAATACATTAATGTTGTTATTTTGGAATGCAAACTACATTATACTAATGAAACTTCCCTTTATTGTTAACTACTATCTCTAAATTTTGTGTCTACCTTTATTACTATGCTACAAGTTTTGTGTAACTTCCTCCATCTATGGTTCATTTGTTCGTAAGCAAAACTGTAAGTATCTACGGCCATAAGTGAATTTTAATACCCTTACCCCAGCGGAAAGGGCCTGTTGCAAACTTTTGCTAGAGCAAAAATAAGAGTTGTTTCTTATAGATAATGCCTCAAAAATCACGATGAGCGCATCGGCAAAGTCTGAAATGCACTCATAACTTCACAGTCTGCGTAAGAAATTTGCGGTTATTTGAGCTTCCCGCTTCAAAAGCGATTCTACGGCACAGGTGAACATTTTGTAAGAAGAGTCGTTCCATCGTCGGCAATACTCATCATGGCCGACGCCAATCCGCCAAAACACGTGTGATGGGACGAGATAATACCTGAACTAGATTAGACCAGATAACAATCGGCGTGTTTTAACGTTCATGTTTTCCACGCCCGAATTGATTGACCTTGAACTCTCCTCGAATTACGCGCGGAACTGCGCGCAAGCGTCAGCCATGATGAATATCGCCGACGATGGAGCGACTCCGCTAATAGTCTAAGAGCCAGCTGCATTTTTGACGCCACTACTCCGGCACGCTTGAAACTTGGCAGAGACATAGTTCTGACCTGCCTAGTAAGGGATTGGGCAATATCAGACCTCAAAAGTGGTGCGTCTGGCCGCTGCGCCCCCCCAAAAACGGAAAAAAGCGTGCGATGAAATCGCACGGTAGAGCCACTTTTCGGCTCCTGAAAAGTGCTTTGACGTTGTTCCCTAGCCTTTATATGGTATACACGTGTAGTTTGGGTACATATAAACTTTGTTTTAGCCCGGCAGACGAATTCGAGTTTATACGGCCGATCGGCAGACTCCAAAACCGGCTCCTCCGTGCAATAAAATGGAAAGAAAGAGCCACTTTATGGCTCCTGCAAAGTGCTTTGACGTTGTTTTTCAACCTTTATATTGTACGCACGTATAGTTTGGGTACATATAAACTTTGTATTAGCCCGGCAGACGAATTCAATTTCATACGACTGATCGGCAGACCCCCAAAAATGGCTCTAAGATGCTATAAAATCGAAAGAAAGAGCCACTTTATGGCTCCTGAAAAATGCTTTAATGT